ACCACCATGAGACCTCGTCCACAAATCTCTTCTTCCCCACAAGCCACTCTTCCCTGCCCCAAGGCCCAAAGTTTGCAGCAAGGCTTTGTGGCTCGAAATCTTTAATGGCCAACCCAACTCCAGACTAGATTTCCCCCGGAACCAGCGTGCTGCTTCTGCCGGTCTTCGCCAACCTCGTGTCATCCCGCGGTGACCGTCGTCTGTCCAGCACTCAGCTCCTTCCACTAGCAGTACGTGCATCTGGGAGTGGCGGTCACACCACACCACAAGTTATTTGTAAGAGCGAGTTGCTGGTCACCGACGAGGGTAGAGGTAGGTATGGAAGTGGTGGTGGCGGTGGCGAGCGCTGTGGCGAGCAGCGTGGTGCCTAGGCTGTTGACAGTCTTAGAAGAAAGTTCCAAGGAGTTGAGGGACATTGAGGAAGACATCGGTTTCTTGCATCGAGAGCTTCCCATGATTTATGGTTTGACGGATGGTCAAATATCGCACAAGGAGCAGCCCAGTGGCACCGAGATCTTATCCATGGAAGAATTCCGTGATTTGGCACATAACATCGAGGACTGCCTGGACCGGTTCCTTCCTTGCGCTGAATGCGAGGGAGAACAACAAATCCGCGATACAAGCAAGTTTCGTGATGAGATTGCGAGATTCAAGCGGGAGCTGGATGCGGCACAACAGCGAAAAAAGAGATACGTCGTCGCCGAATCCAACGTCGACAATAGCAGCACCGCTGACGAGGAGGATACGGGCACATATGAGGCTTGTCCTGCAGTGGGCATCCAGGAAGCAAAGGAGGAGGTTTGGGCCTTGTTAGTTGGCGGCGAATCAAGCAAGCTGAGGGTGGTCTCCATCGTCGGATTTGGTGGCTCGGGAAAAACCGCACTCTCCTGGGAAGTGTACAACTGCCCTCAAGTCGCCAAGCAATTCAGTTGCCGTGCCTGGGTGACTGTGGCGTCCAATCAAATACACGGGGTCGCGGCCAAGGAGGCGCTCTTGACGGCCATACTAGAGGGGCTTCTTGGAGACGAAGCACGGGCGCCCGTGCCACAGAGACTCCTACAACTCCAACAGCATATCCGTCTTCTTCTCCAAACCAAGAGGTGAGATTGATCCTAATAATCCTAAACTGCCACTCAGAGTATTCCCAGCGTTTTTTGAGAGAGACAAAGGCCATCATGACTAGCTGTACAAATAACAGTCTTGCTAAATCTAAGTCGTCTGAGACTCGTGAAGTCGCGGTCGATACTATATCCATGAGATTTTACATTGAGATCCATGCAAAAAAAAATTAGGTTTTTGTTTTGTTTTTCTTTCATGCGTTATGTCACTTGACTGAGACTTGGTTAAATCTCAGTTGACTGAGACCTAGCCACACCCAACAAATAATACTTCCTTCATGCGGAATTACTTGTCACAAAAATGGTTAAAAATGGATGTATATAAAACAATTGTATGTCTAGATACATCCATTTTCCAGACAAGTTATTCTAGACGGAGGTCACATTATGCACCGAAAACTTGATACTCGAACTAGAAGGTGAATCTAGCCACATAGACGGAAGACTGCTTAGACCTAGCTCATGCAGTACCGCATTTTTTTAGACCGAGGCAAAAGCTTTGCCTTTCTCATCAGTTAAGCATATTCAAGATTTGACATACCTCCCCTCTCACCTCTACATTTGTGTTGGGACTGAAATAAATGGACGATTTGGCCTCACTCACCAACTGCCCAGATGCTGCACAATAATTATCTAGAATCATTATTACGCTTGGTTTGGATGTGTGAATTGGAGATCTTCCAATTGAATTGGACTGGAATTCCGAACAATAACTGTTTGGAATTCCAAACCATTAAATTGGACCAGAATTCCAATTCAGTGAGGAAACTGCAATATCATGAATACCAATTCGTTCTAGTTATGGCTCTGTGAAAATCTCAGCACCTATCTTGGGCACCATCACCATTGGCATGATATTTTGAATATATGATAACTATGGTCTCCCAGTTCTAGATTACTTTGTTCTTGTAAGATTATATCCCCTTGGTAGCCTTGTTAGCCAGCACAATAAACACGAACCAATAATACTGTTGCTGCCTTGTTATTTTACATATGCAAATCACAGAAATAATGTGTACTCATGGTGGCTGGCTCACATATTTAGCCCAAACATCATCACTATCAATTGATAGCTTATTATTGATCCAATCCTAGCCAAAAGCCACTTTGAGAAAGATCTTGTTAATGATCTCATAGCGCTTATCAATTGTCCTCATCGTTCCACTTATGTGGTCCTTTGTGATATCCATATATATTGCACTTGTCCTTCACATGTTTTATGGTAGAATTGTACACATGTGGTTTCCATCCATTTTGGTCATGGTCAGCATTGTTGTGATGCTCAACAAGGACCTCAAGCAATGCAACATCCATATCGTCATCCCGTGTTAAGTAATTCCTCTTCCTTATGATTGTTTCTTCTGCCATGGTGCTACAAGGAAATAAGAATTGTACATGATAGAAAAAACAAATACAATATTAAGGTGGAGAAACATAATGCCATATATTAATTTCATGAAGATGCTGCATATACAAGATAGAAAAGGAATCATCACTCTAGTTGTGACCATATGTCATTCATCAGCTATATAAAAGAAGAGCACCGCAACTAGCTCTATGAAAGAAGACCGCCACAGCTATCTATACAAAATAAAATCAACACAACTACCTATCCCACTCTCATCTTACTCCATATTAAGTTCTGCTTGTGCCACAAGATAATCGGCAAACATATCATCTGCTAGTTGTTGCCTAAAGTTGGACCATTCAGTAGTGACAGTAATTAAGTTATCATCATCTGGATCGTCATTTGGCACAGCTGCTCCTTTACTGTCCCCTTCAGGCAATAACAACTTGTCTATGCCTTGCAAAGTAGTGTAACACACAATAAGCATTAATAATTCAAATCTGCAAGGATATTTTAGTTCATAGTAAGCAACTGTCATTCACATATTTATTTTGTTCAACAACATATTTACTTTCGGTACCCGATCCTTTATAGCAAAGAAGGTTTGGGATTGCAAGATAGCTCATTTTCTCTTCGACAAGTCAAATATTTTCTCCACTACATTCCTAGCATGCGAATGGCGCAAGTTATACAAATCTATGATAGTTTTAGGCTGTTATGAACATGGAACCTATTCTTTTAGATGATATCGGGTGGCCCTGAATGGAAATAGAAATCATTCTCCATTGGTATAACTAGCATCAACTAAATATTATTTCCCTTTTTTTTGGAAATAGTATTTCCCTATATCAAGAAGTTAGTTAGCTAACAATCAAATCAAAGAAACTACATGCCAATAGTAAGAGTCATACCCTTAGGTACAACAAGAGCATCTTGGCGGTTTGTCCTCATTGCATAACGCAGAACTCTCGATTTGGAAGTTGAACCCGCCCAGCCAGGTAACACATAAGAAACTTTGTGTTCCAATTAACAACAACTAACATGTTAGTGGTAATTGCTTGCTTTTTGTTCCTATACCTCCTGCCAGGCACATCAACATGACAACCATGTAGTGCTCCAAGTGAATTACCAAACCATTTCCATTTCTAATCATCGGAAGGTTGAGCTCTAAACTCCCCATGTAGAAAGAGTAAGGCTGTTAGGACAACAGAGATGTGTGTGCTAATGGTCCATAAGGAATACTGTAGGTGCCACACAACAACCTCATCTTAAGCCCATGACCAACTACAATCAAGAACATCACAACCATATCTTCCACACTTACATATACGGTATCATAGAGGCAACATATCTCTAATAACATGGTGCACAGGTCATGTAAGTTCTGGTTAGTTAAACACAATTGATCATAGCATGTCACTTTAGATCCATCATACATGCCTTCAAGAAAATATTTCCTAGGCTTATGCTAGTTCTCATCATCACCACTAAAACTTCCTAGGTCCCTTTGATCCTATCCCTCTGTGTAGTAGCATATGCTAATGCAAGAGCATACAATTTTCTCAAAACAATAATTTTCCTCTTCCTTAGTTTACTTTCTTCATTTATGCACTCACGAAATCTAATTGATCTGACACGAAGCTGTACAATGCAATTATCTAGTTGTAAGCATGACAACGAGATATCACATACACAAAGGTATAGCGAAAACATAGGGGATTCCAGCTACATACCTTCAGTGGGCCTGCAGATCGACGAAACTTCAGTAATCTGCACATTTTACACAGCAAAAAATAAATCTTGGCTGCGACTTCTAGTTCAGATACACAAAAGCATAGCGAGAAAAAACAGAGGTGATTAGGGTTTCTTAGTTCTGGTTAAGAAATGGGGAATCAATGGGCTGGATGTGAGGGAATGGTGCTATAGGAGCGGTAGAATCAGGGAGGGAGCAGGTAGGACAAGGAGCGGCGCTGCACATTTGGAGGCCTCAGCGCACGGGAAAGGGATGAGAGGACAAGGCAGAGGGGATATGGGGACGCGGCAGGACAGGCATGATGTAGGAGGAGGAAGAGGGAGCGGGCAGAAAGCACTATGGCACCGCAGCCCAAGTTTGAAGTGTATCAGCCGTTTTTCACTGGCACTATTAATATCAGTTCAATGTCAAACCCGATCATGTAAGTGGCATTGTCCTTAGGCTACTTCGGGTGTCGTTGGTCACAAGTGTGTTGCCCTGGAAATCAATTCCTAAAAACTTACAAAGGGATTTACAGGTAGAGATATTTCTTAATATTTTTGAAGTTTTAATTAGTTGCACATGCAGGAAATTGTAAATGCTAAAAAACGGTAAGGATAAGCAAGAATTTTCTGGAAATATGGGAGAGATTAGCTGATCAAGTTATTTGTTCATATTTCAAGTAGAATGCTTGCAATACAAAGATATATCGAAGATTTCCCTATGTAGGGTTTAGTAGTCTGAAATATTTGTCAATTTGGCTGACAGGTGTTTAATTGTAATTGATAACATCAAGATGGAGCTCTGGGACGCAATAAAACCAATCTTCCCAGAAGAAACAGAGAGCAGAATGCTGGTGACCACAACTATGACTTCGGTAGCTAATGCCTGCAGCTTGCCTGACGGTTATGTTTACAGTATGAGATCTCTTAGTGCAAAACAGTCCAAGGATTATCTAGACAAGAAGGTTTTCGTCGGTGGATGCTCACCTGACTGGGAGAGGGGTTCAACTGCAATCGTGAACAAATGTGATGGTCACCCACTTGCTCTAGTTAGTGTTGCCAAAGCTTTGCAAGGTCACAAGTTGACTGGAGATCTGTGCGAAGAAATGACCCGCAACCTATGTTCCCGTATGGAAGAGAACAAGAATGGTCACTTCACAAGACTAAAGCAGGTTCTTATGAATAACTACAGCAGTCTGCCTGACAATTCTCTCAAGACCTGCTTACTATACTCAGGTGTATTCCCAAATGATCGCCCCATCAGCACGAAAACTCTTGCCATGCGATGGTTAGCCGAAGGATACATTGGTGACCAAGAGATTGCCGATAAGAAGTTGGATGAGCTAATTGACAGAAACATATTTCGGCCTATTGACCCAAGCAACAATGGAAAAGCCAAGGCGTGCAAACCTCATGGCATCATGCACCAGTTCTTGTTGCACAAGTCGGTGGCTTCAAAATTCATTGCTACATCTTTCGGTGCTAAGAACCGAAGTAATTCCCGGCATCTCGTTATTGAGAACCATAAAAATAGCACAGCATGCAACATGGAACATGGTACTGGCCGCCTGAAGAATTTCTTTTCGTCTTTGCAAGGAAAGGTTGATAACTTCATTGCAGGGCCGCCCGGCGAGCAGCTGCGCCCACGGTCTCTAACAGTCTTTGGGAGTGCAGAAGAAACTGTTTCAGATTTGGCTAGTTTTGAGCTTCTGAGAGTATTGGATCTAAAAGAATGCAATGGTTTGAATGAAGAACATATTGGGCACATATACAAGCTGTTGCATCTCAAATATCTGGCACTCGGGAGCTCTGTTAGCAATCTTTCAGTGGAAATGGGAAGGCTTCATTATTTAGAGACACTCGACTTGAGAAAGACCAAGATAGAAACATTGCCGGTGGAAGTCATTATTCTGCCCCACCTACTACACCTGTTTGGAAAGATTAAGCTAAAGGAGGTAAGTCGCAAGAACCGTAAGAAGTTCCTGCAAGGAAAAAGTAATATGCAGACTCTAGCAGGAGTTGTTATTGACAGCAACTCTGCATTCCCGGAACTGATGGTTCATATGAAAAAACTGACAAAGGTCAAGATATGGTGCGAGATCATTGACACAGACATCAATTATACCATGCTCTCAGAGGCCATTCACAAGTTTGCTCAGGCTGGCATGGGTACTCCAGTAGGTGCCCGCTCCCTATCACTCCATCTGAATGATTCTTCCAAAGATTTGCTTCATTGCTGTCAAGGCGACAACACAAATGCAACACCAAGAAAGCTTGGTTATCTTAGCTCACTGAAACTGCAAGGCGGCCTGAGTCAGTTCCCTCAGTTTGTTATGTCCCTCTGTGGTCTGAAAGAGTTGTGCCTTGCATATACTAATCTGACAGGAGCTGATCTTCTACCAGGTCTGCGTAGCCTCCAGTACTTGGTTTATCTCAAACTGGTTGAAGTCCATTTTGGGGATTTAGACATCATGGTTGGGGATCTCCCAAGCCTGCAATGTCTATGCCTTGTGATGCAGGAACCCATGTTGCCCACTATCCAAAAAGGAGCTCTGCCGAGACTCACTTCAATTCAATTGCTCTGCAAAGACCTAAAAGATGTTTGTGAAATCAAACTGGAATTGTTCAAAGGTCTTCAGGAAATAGCTCTGGATTCTATGGTCAATCCGGAAACCATAAAACACTGGGAAGCTGAAGCTAAGGAGCACCCTAAGAGGCCAAGTGTTTTTTTGCTCGAAAGGGTCGTTGATCCAGACGAAACTAGCCCTTCGGTGAAATATGTTGCCCCGTGCCAAGTCGACAACAATCGCTACACCAACACCTGTGCTAACGATCACATGGAAATTGACCTTGACCAACTCACCCTTCAGACCAAGTACCGCAGGTCTGATCAATTCAGAGTTGGCAGCAAGCGATCTCGATCACCTCACTCTCCAGGAAGGGTCTGAGCAAATTCAACGCAATGGAGCAGGTTTGCACACTTCTCATGTTGGTCGTTTTGCTCTATTAAAATTGTGGCTGATTGACCTCTAGTCTAGTTCTCAACAACGATCCTCATATTCTGCATACATCAAAAATTCTTGTCTCCGTTCATAAACATGCTATGATAGTAGTTTGTTTAAATCTGCCTGTTTATTATCTTGCTTTGAAGGGTCAGACGTTGAAGAAACAAATTTAGCAGGGCAGATGTGAAGCCGGATGCTGTCCATTGCACTCATCGTCCATTCAGCGGCCCTAGAAGTTAGCAAGGCACCCTGTTCATCCTTCTTCTCAGGTCGTCCGGTCACTTTAGTTTTTGAATAGATTCCCACCATGTAGCATGACAGATTCTTCTGTTTGGGTGTAGCAGGCCTACTAGGGAAGCATTTGCTTTCCCCATTTCTACTCATGTATCAAAGTCACCTATAGAATTTGTACTTAAGGGTCCTGCACCCGAGGTTGTCGGAGGATAAATGTGTTGTGTCAGTTCTATGGATGATTAGTACGATAAATTCACTTGGATACATTCGTTTCATGCGAAATCTGATGTGCTTTTATTTAATTCCAAAAATGCATTGCAAAACTTGTAGGCAAAATAACTACGTAGATGCGTACAATCAGACTAGGAGAAGTTCGGATACTTGTGTAAAATCAAATTTGTGGTTTTACACACAGGGTTTCACATCATGAGAATGGCTCCTGGAGCTTGTATGTGCAGCTGGTGAAAAATCGTTGTCACGCGGACTAAATGAAGGTTTGATTACAGTGGATAGATGTAATGACCGCAGGACGGGCGTGCTGACCATTCCACCTTGCCACCGCGACGGCAGGCGTACCCCGCCGGCGGCGCCCGACGTGTCTGGTCCGGTCTGGGTGGACATCCACAGGGCTACCTACAGGTTAGCCGGCTCCAACTTGACCAGCGCAGAAGGGTCACAAGCCTGTTCACTAGGTGAACTATATACAGAGGAAAACGAATGAACCTATATTTAATATGTATCTATATACATCCATATGTGGTTCATAGTGAAATCTCTACAAAGACTTACATTTAGGAACGGAGGGAGTACATATCTCTGAGACTAGGAAATTAAGATGGTTCACTACTCGGTATCCACTGTGCGTTCTGCATGTTTCAAACGAGCAGCGAGAAATTAAGAATTCGCCTGTGCTAATTGGACAAACGAGCAGATGAGGATGCGTCCAGCGGCACTTCAGGCTTCCAAGGGACGTTCATGGAGGAAGGTTGCTCGCTTGTTTGGCCAAAAAGGTGTAGTTAGAGAATGGGGCCAGGCAGCTCCTGCTGGTGGGTAGCGAAACACACCTGTCGCTCCCTGACCCGCGTCGGGTGGGAGAAGCATATCCCTTGCGCCGCCACGGCGGCAGGCCACCTGCGCCGCCGCCGGCGGCCAATGCGTCTGGTGCGGCGAGAGCTACAGAAGCAGGCCGGGCTAGCCGCGCAAAGTGTTTTTTACCGGAGCCGGGAGCTACCGGTGATCTTTCCACGCCAATGAGGTGCTGCCACATCTAAGGCCTCATTTGGTTCATAGGATAGGATTATCGTAGGAATAGAAAATTTGCAGGAAATGAGATGACATGTATGTTAAATCCTATGAGTATGAATAGGAAACGAGATGTCATTTGGTTCACACCAAAGGAAATTTTTCATTGAGTCTAGGCTCATTTTTATTTTCCTATGAAATGTGGAGGATAGGAACAAATCCTATGTAGGAATAGGAATCCGTTCCTATGAACCAAAAGGCTCTAAAGGAAAAAATCCTATAAGAATCCTATCCTCTAGAATTCCTATGAAATTCCTTCAAACCAAAGGAGGCCTAAAGGTGCGGAACCATGTGCATGTGTATATGAAAGTATTCATTGCAACAAATCTCTTGTATTTCTGATTTTAGTCCAATCAATGTCAGAATGATGTAGTACCTTTTAACAGGAACGGTACACATGCATGCATGCAGAATCTCTCCTCTCTCACACACAAACAAATCCATCCATTTTATCTTTGTTTAAAATTTTAGATGGACAATACCTCTAACACTAATTTTCTATTACTGATTTTTTTTATATATTAAAATTCCTAAACATGTGATCTGTAGAACAAGGCCAATTTTGAATATATTTGAACTAGATTAAGTTTTTCTATTTCAATCATATCAAAATTTATATTTCACTTATTTCAAATTTACTTATTTGAAATAATTGGAATCGATTTTGAAACTAGTGAAATTATTTTTTGAAATAAATGAAATCAGTTTTCTGAAACTAGTTTGTTACCGAAAAAGGGTTCCCCCACTTTGTATACAAAGCAACCAACCGAGCCATACAGAGATAGGTGCTGGGGCGGAAGCAGCACAGTCACGCCTAAAAGAAACGACGAAGAAAGAGCAAAAGGAACAAATGCCGACAATGGCGGATCAACAAAAACGAAGAAGCCTCGCAATCGCTTCGCCCACAGGGATCTTCCACTAGGCTCCAAAACTCCGAAGCGCCGACACCTATCAACACCTCCAAGAAAGATCGCGACGATGACGATGCTGCTGCCAAGGGTTTCCCCGGTACACGACGAGGCGAGAGGAAGGGTAGCCCCCGACGCCCTCCCGGAAGGTCAGGTGGCACCCACAGGCGCCACCGCGCCGGTGTCGGCCACGCCGACAGGGGTTTCCCCCGATCCAAACCCGCACCTCGGGCGCTCCGGATCCAGCCACCAAACCAACCACCACCCTGCGCCAACGCGGTCATGAGGCCCCCACGCCGTCTCACCACGACACCGCGAAGTGAGGACATCGCGGCGAAGAATCAGAGCCGGGACTAGAGCATCAGCACCGTCGGCACGCGGGAGGGCCCCACCTCCACCGTCCGCGACGGTAGCCGTCCGGACGCAATAGCAGGAGCACACCAGGCCCGTGGGCCCACAGGCCCTGCCGAGCCCTCGTGGGCCCATAAAGCTCCCGCCTTCGCGTTGCTGCCGGCACGCCATCGGCGCCGACGCCCCATATCCGAGCCGCTCCTCCTCCTCACCGCGCCACAGACAACGAGGCGACGCCGAGGGGCCGGCCCTCTAGGACCCAGATGGGCCCGCCGGGCCCAGATCTGGGCTGGGGGCGCGACGTCGGCCACCCAACACCACCACGCCGGCCCGCCGCTAAGGAGCAGCGCCGCCACCACGTCCGCCGCCGGCCACCCCGCCGGGTCACCGGACCGTCGCCAAGCCGAGCGACACCGCCGCCG